TTTGCACACGTGGTCGGAGCGGAATTTTTCGCTCAGAACGTCGTGCGGAAGCGTAACAACCCGAGGACCCCAAGTTGACGTGGCATGACGTTACAGCAATGGCGGCCCCCTTTGCTACCGGCCCCGGTGAGTCAAATTACCAGGCTACAAACAGTGACCTTGTATACAAGCGCGGCATTCACTGCTATTCAAAATATTTGCAGACGGCACCACTGTAGCCAATAAATACAAACATCACCTGATAAATCCACATTCTTGTTCCGCCACGATAAGCAGCTGAAGTATCTGATTTACGCGTTCTCCTTGAACACAACACAAGAGAGCGAAAATCTTGAGGCATGCATGTTTGTTTACGTCCAAGGTCCGATGTGAGGCGATGGACGCACTTTTTCGGAAGTAGGGGCTTTTCCGGGCTTTTCACGTCAGGTCCTCGGAAACCTTTATTATTTATTAGTTCCTATGAGCACCAGTGATATCACTGGTGCTCATAGGAACAGCAGGTTTTGAAGCAGCCCCCAGAGACACAGAGGATTATCAAAAACATGTTGTTTTATGTCACATTATACACCAGGTTTATGAAAATGAAATTAATGTTGAAATACTGCAAAGTTATCCTTTAACATTTCAGCAATCAGCCACTCCGATCAGTGAGGTAATCCTGGAGACATTTTCCTTCTAACATTGCTTAAAGCATCACTTTTGATAAAAGATGTCCTGATCTGATCCGAGTCCTTTAGTATTGAATATGTGCTGATATCCAGTCCACAGCGCCGGCGCTGCTCTCTAACCTTGGCAGTAACCTCTGCAGCTTAAGCTGCTGTAGAAGAAACACAGCAGAGGGATTTTAAAGAAAAGCACAGAGCAACACTGAGTCTTTTTATTTTCTCTCTGAACAAGTGAGAAAAAAAATGTTTTCTTGTCAGATTTGAGAGCGACCTTTTGTGAGTAACTGATTGATCTTCATAATAACACAACAGAAGAACAACTCCTTTATCTGGGAAACCAAAACACCACAGAAGAGCTCAGTGTTGGACTTGACAAAGCTCTGCTGTTTTCTCAAGTATTTACAGATAGAAAACATTTTTTTTTTACTGGGAAATCACTCAAGAATATCGTGCAGTGAGATATCTGTCAAGTCTGTAATCTTTATTGAGTCATAATGGCAAGAAAAATCCTTCATCGCTGATTGCTGCTGCTCTCTCAGCAGAATTATATCCCAGAGCTGTTGTAATTGGGACCATAATAAGTGGTGGAGATAAGAGTGAGGCTCTTATAGGCACCGGTGACTTAGTATTTCATTACGTGTAACCATGGTGATGACAGTGGTTAAGATCACTCACAGGCTTTGAGAAGTGAAAAACGGTGTTCTTGGTTTTATGAAACGCTGCTGGAGACTCAGCGCAGAGCAGAAATATGATCTGACTCTGGTCCTTTCCTGTCGCGTTGAAGATGATGTCACAGCAGTTTCATGCAGTCTGTCTGCAGTGTAAAATGAAATAGAGAGAAGGACCTGGTACTAACAGTGAGTCGAAGCGAGCTGCACCGTACAGTTGAAAAGAAGCTGAGTTTTACATTTATCCATTTTTCTGTTCATGTAACTTGTTGCCACAGAGGTCAGTGTTCAGTTAAAGTTACAAAAGCTCACTTTAAAAGGAAATACTCTAATACCTGGTACTGGCATATTTGACTGATGCAGACTCCAAAAAGAAAGGCGTGAACTTCCTGCAGCTTTCCCCAAATCTTCAATGCAACAGAAATAATCTTGAACACTTGGCTCCTTGTGTTTTAATAATCCTGGACGCTCAGTAAACTGTTCAGATGACTTCTGTTACATTAAGTTTTTCTGGAAAGCTGCAGGAGGCTCCTCTGTGTGTGAGTGTGGTGAGTCAAATGTTCAATGATTAACTGACACAAAGGACAAAATATGAGAGTAACATCCAGGTTTCTCTTGAATGTCTTGTTAAAGCTCCGGACCACACAAATCAGTGAATAATCTGCATATTGCTGATCCCCATTTTAGAGAAGCTGATCCTCACAGACGACTTAAACAGCATACAAATCTCATTTCCCGTGTCAGCACAGAAACCATTTCTGTGTTATAGTCACACTGGCTGAGCTCCAGTAATGTTGCCTTATTATACTGTTGCAGATTTCTGCCAAGTTCTGTGCACAAGTGGCAGCTAATTATAATGTGCAGCCCCTGTATGTATGTGTTGGTTGGAAACATTCGTCCCAGCCGGAGTGAGATATTTGCCTCTCACAGACTGTGCCAGTCATGTAGATGCAGATAAATGGAAATAGACGGGGTGAAAAAAAAAAAGATTTTCTAAGCCTGGATATAGTTGAGAGATGATTAGCTGCCACTCAATATTAGGAAGATGGTAACTGCAGACTGCGGATAGAATAATGAATGGTGTGACATTTGGAGAAAATGTCTCATCTTCTAAAATGTCCTTTCATTATACAGTGGAGTTTCAACATTCAAATAATCAGATGTCAGATGGATCCACGTCAGTAATATTGAAATGACATTAATAATCTTTTACTGGTATTTTTGACTCTGTCACTTCCTCCAGGTTTTTCCCTGGATAAATATTCAGAGCAGCCGTGGGTGTAAATTTCCATTAAATTTAATGACATGTAGCTTATTGTCTTTGTTGTTCTTTTATCTTCTTTGTTATTATCAAATCTTTGTTGTTATTATGCTGATGATATTATTCTATCTTCTTTGTTATTACCTTGTCTTTGTTGTTTTATCTTATCGTCATTATTATCTTATCTTCTGTTGATATTGTCATTGTTATAATCTTGTCTTCGCTGATATTTTCTTGGTTTTATCTTAGTATATATTACTATGATGAAAACTCTGTCTGTGTGTGAATGCAATATTACATCAATTGGCCAAAGGGGGGCGCTATAGCAACCGACTGAAATGTCAAACTTTGAATGGGCATATCTCATGCCCCGTATGTGGTAGAGACATGAAACTTTGCACAGAGATGCCTCTCCTCATGAGGAACACATTTGCCTCAAGAACCCATAACTTCCGCTTATATAGATTTTCCGCCATTCTGAATTCTTTGAAAAACACTTCAAATGGATCTCTTCCTAGGAAGTTTGAGCGATCTGCATGAAACTGGGTGAACATAATCTAGGGACCAATATCTAAAGTTCCCTCTTGGCAAAAGTTGGAAAACTTACTAAAACTGAGCTTCTATAAGGCAATGAATATTGCGGAGGGCGTGGCTCATCACATAAAGGTGTATAACATCTCAAGGGTTTCACCCATCACCACGCAACTTTGTAGGCATATGACCACACATAATCTGAGGGGACCCCTCCATTATTGACCCCATCAAACAAAATGGGGGCGCTAGAGAGCTCATTTCTTATCTAGGCCTAACCGCCATATGGATTTTTACTAAACTTGGTAGATATGTAGAACAGGACGCCTCAAGGTGACTGGAGAAATTTAACTCTAATTGGCAACTGGGTGGCGCTATAACAACAGAAAAATGCTTCAAAATGGCTAAAATGCGACCGATCGCTGTGGCTCCCCCTGTGGACCAATGTTGGTGTTGTTTTCTAATGTTTGGTATGACTAAGTCATGGTATGGTATGCTGTACATAATCACGGAAACTGTCAGTGTGTCATTCTGTCAGTCAGTCATTCTGTCTGTCCCACGTTTTTCTACTCACTGACGTGGTCAATCTATGTGAAACTGCACATAGGCATTGAGGACTGGCATAGGTAGAAGGTGACAAAGCTACCAGTGGCTATGGACTAGTCTTATCTTTGTTGATATTATAATCAGTATCATCATATCTTGGTTGACGTGTTCTTGGTTATCTCAGCTGCGTTGATATTATCTTCGTTATTATCTGAGCTTTTGGTGACATGATCATTGTTATAATCTTCACTGGTAACATCTTCATTATTATCTTGTCTTTGTTGATCTTCATTATTTTTGTATGTTCGTTATTATTCTATCTTCATTATCCCATCTTTGCTTATATAAGATAATCTTATTTATTATGCCAGCATCTTTTTTATTATGGTAACTTTGTTTTTATTATCTTTTATTTGCATTTGCTTTTATACCTTATCTCAGTTGTGATTAACCTTATCTTTGTTGTTAATATCTTTTCTTCCTCGATAATCCGTCTGTAATAATAATATCTTACCTTCATTATTATCATCTCATTATCCTATTTTCCTAAATATTACCTTATCTTCATTTTTATTACCTTATCTTCCTTGATATGATCATATATTCATTAATGTTAGCTTATCTTTGTTATCACCTCGTCTCTATTGTTTTCATCTTGCCATCATTCATTTTACATTATCTTCATTGTTATTCTCATTTTAGTTGTTTTTATGTTATCTTCATTATTGCCTTATCTTCATCTAATTTCTTCATCTTTGTTGAAATTACCTTATCTTCACTGATATTATCTCATCTTCTTTGTTACTGTTATTTTTGTTTCTATTCACTCATGTTTGTTGTTAATATCTTAGCTTTTTGCTATTATCTTATCTTCCTTGTTCACATCTTATCTTTATTATCACCTTATCTTTTTTATGAATACCTTACCTTCCTTTACATTATCTTATCTTAATTATCTTTTCTTCTTTGTTACCACGTTATCTTCGCTGCCTTTCACTAATCTTCGTTAGTACCTTATCTGTGTTGATATTGTCTTTTCTTCTTTGTTTGTGTGTTATATTTGTTTCTGTTCACTTACCTTTGTTGTTAATGTCTTATTTTCATTATTAACTTATTTTTATTACATATATATTCTTTGTTGTATATATTGTACTTTTGGGGAGGAAGGGGGAAACAAAGAATTTCACTGCACAGTGTAGAGACATGTTGAGTGTGTGACGGATAAAACATGAAACCTGAATAGAACTGAGAAATGTATTTACTTCAAAAATAGGACTGAAGTAAACTGTGGTTATAAAACATATATGAATCCCTTCCTTTTCCCTCCAGGTGGACCCCATGTTCACGGTGCCAGCTCCCCCTGCTCCAGGCCACCCCGGGGCCCCCGGATCCTCTCTGCCCTCGGCCCCTTCCTTCTCCCCTCCGGCCCTGCCCACCTCCAACCTGAAGCAGCTGGCGGTGAGGACGAGGTCAATAGGCACCAACACCCAGGATGGAGGCGTCTCAGGAGCACTGGAGGGCGACTCGGCCTGTCTGGGACCCTGCCAGCCCGGGACCAGCGTCAACCTGGAGGGCATCGTGTGGCACGAGACTGAGGAAGGTAAGGAGTGTTTCTGAACAGTAAACAGTGATCTCTCACCGGTAAACACTTACATACAGAAACTTTAAAGAGTTCTGCCTCCATCGAATACAATGGAGGCAAATGGAATATCTGTTCCTAGAAGTACTAAAAAACTACAGTACATTTCATAGGGACTATTTTTATGGATTATCCATAGTTACAGATCTGTTGGTTCTTGAAAGATGTGTTGCTGTTGAGTTCTTAAGATGTCATAGCAGAAATAAAATCCCTTCCTGCTCCTCCGCTGTATCGGGTTGGCAGCAGAAATTTGAGGCAGATATCTTAAAACATAAAACCACATGCAATTAAAATTAAAAAACATGTTAAATGTAAATAATAATAAGATAAATAAAACTGTGTAAAACGGTCCAGTTTGTAAGATTTAGGGGGATTTAGTGGCATCTAGTGGTGGAGACTGCAAATTGCAAATTCCACAGATTTTGAGACGTCTGAGGATAATTTGGCTCCTGGTAAAAACGTCCAGAACATTTGGATCTTAAGTTATCAGACAAAACAGGTGAGCATATATTAGCAGGCAGGTAGTTCTCACAAATTTTGTGTATGTTTTCTTAGGGAAAACACTGCACCCAAACTCGTACATATCCCACGTACTTTGAAAGGCTGCGATCACATGACCAATGTACTGACGGCAGTAAATAAGGAAGCAGTCCTGAGCGCTTGTATGGAGGCAAGTTTGGGTGGTGGATGGGTCACCAAAAAAACCCCTGCAATTTCGCCCAGGTCCTGGAGTCGCGTGTTCAGATCTGTGTGAAATTTGAGTTATTTTAAGGTAAATCCTCACCGTGTTTCTTTCCCTAAACTTAACCAAAGTATCTTTTATTGCCTAAACCTAACCTACACAACTTTACATTAATTATGTAACTGTACGTTAAGGACCTAACATCGTGCAGGGGGTGCAAATTCTTAGGATATCAAACGAACTGTTGTGCATGCATTTTTCATAGGATATCATGCAAACTGTTCTATCGTAGCAGGTGCTAATCTAGCAACCTGTCTCGAGGTGCCAGACAGTGTTGGAAAAACACTTATTTTACTTGTTTTTACCGGTTTAAATCACCTGGTTTGTTTGTTTTGGAGATGAAGCGATCTCTGTAGATAATTCAGCTCCTGGTTAAAACCTCCTGAATGTCTGGATTTTAAGTTATGAGAGAAAATAGGTGAGCACACCTGAGCAGCTGCAGGGTAGAAACACTGATTTGTGATGTGAAAATGATTTATTCAGTGTTTTATAGGGCTGACCCAAAAAATTCGAAGCTTCGAAGCTTCATTCGATGGCACGGGATTCGATTGTGAAAAAACAAATTCGAAGCTTCTGTGCTTTTTTTTCCCGTTTTTTTGGGGGAGGCCTTAAACGCAATACTAACCCCCACCAGTCCCATACTGACAACGAGCGCACTCAGAGCTGGCAGACATGTCCAGGAGGTCATCAGATGTGTGGTTGCACTTTAAAATATGCCCCGACAACCCCCAGAAAGCAGAGTGCCAGATTTGCCAAAAGCAATTGGCATATCACAACTCAACAACAAATTTGGGAAATCACTTGAAAAACGTAGTAGTAGCTAGTAGTAACTAGTAGGCCTAATATGCATTTTCCAGTTCCACCGGTCTGCTCCGAGTCTGGTGTCAGAGACACTTCAGATGCTCTGAGTTGCGCATCTGTTTGATTGTGCTGCAGTGTGCGCCGAGGGTTTTAATTTAGTGTTCAATCAAAAGTTAAACACTACTTATCAACAACCATTAGTGTTTTTTCGTTTGTGAATATTTTTATCTTAACTCTAGTGCTGGAAGAAACTACGTTTTCACCATAATTTTTTTTTTTTTTTTTACAAAAAAAAAAAGTCGTCGAATGCTTAGAATTAAATTCCTTCTGAGCTCCGAAGCTTCGAATGTCCATAAATGGATTCGAAGGTCAGCCCTAGTGTTTTAATCACCTGGGGTCTCATTTATAAACACTGCAAACACACAAAACAAGGCCTGAAAGAGGCGTGCTCCACTTCCCATGCAAAGGTTGTGATCTATAAAAAGAGACTTGGTGGGAGAAACTTTGATCCATGCTTATGAACTTTTTTTGTAGGTGGGAAATTGGCGACGCAGATGGTGAGTTGGAAGCCCGATTGTAGAAATTTGTTGAATATTTTTTGGTGCTGCCATTTTGGCCTTTTTCCATGTGTACATTTACAGCATAGATACTACACATTGTTTAATGAGTGAGACCCCTGGTCTGTTTGTTTTGGAGAAGAGGAGACCTCTGTAGATAATTCAGCTCATGTTAAAAACCTCCTGAACAATGAACACTGAAGGAATTCTAACCAGGAGAAGTTTCAGCTGGTTGTAATCTCCTAATGGCTACACGCCACTAAATCTCCCCAGATGTTACACACTGTTCCTTTGCCACATGAATAAAGATATAAGAGTCAGTGGACCAAAATAATCTGTGGCCAGTGGACTGAAATGTGCAAAAACACTGTTATTCTCATTTAATATGTCAAAAGCAGTGATATTGTGTCAAAATTTTCACCTTCATATTTGTGTGCAAGTCCTGAGCTAAACAATGTGGGGCACAATAACGTGGTATGATTTGTGCGTGTGTGCGTGTGTGTGTGTTGAATTCAGCAGAGATGTGAATAAAGTGAAAGTCTTGCAAAGGAACGTAAGCGAACATGAAAGTCTGAGTGTTTCCAGTCTGTGCTGGTGAAGACGCGGAGAGTCTTATGTGTCAAACGAGTAAATAAAAGACTTTAGTCGTGCCTCAGTGAAAGCCAAGATGGTGGAGACACATCAGCAGCTTTTCTGATCCCCATGCTTGACTCAATTTGACAAAAGCCTTGATGTGTGGAAGAACTCAGACTTACCTCTCACTGCACAGTTTCTGTTGTTTTCACATTTGAGGATTAGCGGTTTGTCATTGAGTCTGCGAGTCTAACCAGACAGAGAGACTGACGATCACAAACTATTTTTACTGAGCGCTGGCTGAGTGGAAGCGAGGTGTGAAAATTCAGGTGCAAGTTTCCAGCAAATGGTTTGTTTTGGTCCTCCTCATTAAAACTAAAGACGGCGTTGTTTGCAGGATGAATCCAACAAGGGAGGCTGTAATTGGAGATTTTTCATTTTGCAGAAGGACAGCATCCAAATTTGTGACAGCTCCAGGGAAACAGTTCGTCTGGACACAAAGCTGAGTAAATATTTCTACCTACTTAGAGGTTGCTTTCCTGGTTTACTGGACTTTCTGTGTTTTCAAAATTAACTAACTAACTGAGCAGAAAAACAACAGCGCTGGCTTTGTGACAAAATTATCTTAACTACTATATTTCCTGAGCTTTTATCTGTATCTCAAAGTTTGATCAGTGGATAGAGTTGGTGCAGTTGTTAAAGAGTGACCTAAATATGGGATTTTGGTCATGTGATAACCAGGAATGGGCATTTCAAGTTATTTCCAAATACAAGTACTTGCATTACGTTATTATCAAGTACATACCAGAAAAATCTAATGTAAGAATAGAGTCCAAAATGTCAGTGAAAATGCAGGTGTTAATTTAATTTATTTTGACTAAATAATGTTAAACTTTACACTTAGGTCTGTTCTCAATTCTGCCTGTAATGTTAGACTGACCGAAAGCGAATGTTTCAGTGTCTATAGCTGTGTGGATGCTTATTTTTGCTGTAAGGATCTGTGCAGATATTCAGAGATAGCAGTTACATAACTGCATCCCATCCAAAGAATGTAAACCTTTGATATAGACCAGGGTAGGACTGGGCAATATATTGATAGTATATATCATGATATAAGACAAGATATCATCTTAGATTTTGGAGGGTATAATTGATCTGGACCCGATGGTCTGCAAGGCGCAGTGTCTGGACAGGAGTGTTAGCATCCATTTGTAGCACAACTAGCCACAACTTCAGCATCTCGCCGTCCGACAAAGACAGCCTATGAAAGCTGTACGGGGTGTTGCGCGACATCCTGTTCTTGCAATTCGGATAAGCACAAACACAAACTATTGTTTTCAATCGATGCAGTAAAACTCTCAGCTGTACTCCGGGACAACCAGCGCCACTCTGAGCGGCGCTCAGCATGGCTCCTCTGTCACAGCCCAGAGCAAGTGAAGGGTCAGGGAAACGCTTAGTATGCTATTTACAGAGATAGCACTGGTGATCTGAACCGGTCAGTGGCGAAAAAAAGCATTTTTAATGCGCAAACTTATACGGGACGCATTTGCCCCCATATCTACCTCGCGGCTCCTGGCTGCATCCGCCTCCCTCAATACTGAACCAATTTTAGAACGAGTTGTACCTATGAATCATACGCACACATACACATGGGGAAATAGGGCCCAGGTTGAAAAATACCGAAGTTATCCTTTAAGTTGAACTCAAGTTTGTTTGTCCCCTCAGTGCGGTTCGTTTGGGCAGGTGTGAACACAGCAATCACACTCAGGTGTGAACACACCAAAACAACCGGACTGAGACCTTCTTGAAGAGGTGGTCTCAGTCCGGTTCCAAAGGAACTCTGGTGCGGTTGGTTTGTGGTGAGAAGGTGTTCCGACCTGGATGTGAAGCAACTGTAGTCACATGACGCATTGTTTGGGTCAAACATGAGCATGTTACAGTCCTGGAGGATTATTAATGTGCACCTCCTCCTGTACTGCTCAATGGTTACGGGAAATAAATTCCCACATTGTTAGGAAAGCTGGTTGAAAATCAGCTAAGTGTCCCTTTGACTAACAAATAGTGCCAATGATTGGGGCGTCATTTCACAGAGTGTTCCCAAGATGTCATTAGAGGACTTGTTTCCTTAACAATTTAGCAAAGACAGTTTTATGTCATGTTGCATCTGCTTCCTTTGCCTGAACATCACCTTTCAATATGACCTCTTTGTAGAGAGAATGTGGATTTAAAACGCTTCATATTTCAACACAGTTTGCTCCTAAAGCCATCACAGATGCACCCTGTTTGTC